ATTTTTCTGCTTAATCAGTTAATAATCAGATAGCAAAAGGTTCCTTAAAGACATTTTTTTACAAAATTAAACCAGGTGAAACTAAAATGTTTCCATCTTAAATGCAAAAATATTTATATAATTTTTTTACAATTTTGATATAATTACTGCTCTAAGTTGGTTGCTTGTAAGCTATAGGCATGTATACTCCAGTTAATGATTAATCGATTACAGAATCAGTTGATGATTATTTCAATAATTGATTAATCCAATTAATTGTTTCAGCACCAGTTTCAACTACCCAACTTGAGTTTTCCTGGTATTTGCTTACCTGCACCCTTTATCTAAAGCCATAGATCACTTGCATGAGGGATTTCATTGCACAAAATACTTTTCAGCAGAAAATCAAATGATTTGATTGCTGTACAGTCAATAGAGCAGCACTAGAGAAGATAAAACAACTTTTTACAAATACAGCTAGACCTCCTAATGTGACAATGTCTCCATTTTTCTCTCACTCTCACTCAGTATGTCTGGGAAGAGAATTGGAATATAGAATCCTTCTTTTTTTAAACACACAGAAATCTATAGATTGTGTTAATAACAGGGGAATGGAGAAAAAAGCTTATTGGCATCGCTTCTAAACGCTGATGTTCAGATCAAAAACCAAACTTTACATCAAAAGGTAAAACGTAAAATGGTACAAATACAGTTAAACATGGAGCCTATACAGAAGTTCAACTGAGTGAACTGATTAATCGCCTTAATTCGCTTACGACACAGCCAATCAGCTTTGAACCACACCTCCACAAAAGCCAATCAGCATCCAAGGTTCGTCGTAAAAGGCCTCCGATCTGCAACTCGTCCGCAAGCTAGCGCGCAGGCGGTGGTTGCGCTGTGACTTTATTCATATGACCCCGTTTAAACCCACCTCCAGCCCCTCCTCCACAATCGTAGCTAAAACTTCATCAGTGTCATTCCTCCTGGACTCTTACTGCATTCTGCGTCTCATTTTAACCGGTTCGGCAGAAGACCGCTATGTTGAGCCTGGTTCTGCCAGAGGTTTCTTCCCAATGGGGAGATTTTCCTCTCCACAGTTGCTTCATGCTTGCTCATCATGAACAGGTTCTCTCAACCTGTGTTATCCAAACTGGACTTCCATCTTCCAGGTCCCTGAGTAGGTCTCTAGAATCAACTCACACAATCCCCTGGATCTCCCCATAAAAGCTCAGGAGACCGTCTCACTAACCAGCAGTCTACAGACTGACCAACTTCATCTATCTCCACTCCACCACCAGTTTCAGGCCTGGGGGGAAACAGCCCTATTCTTTGCTTCTGTTCATGCATATCTATCAAAATTCAGTGCTATGTTTCCTGCCGAGGTCTGTGCACCAAAGACAAAGTAATTGTATCAATAAATTTCTTCTAATTGTCTTTTCTCTCCGTGTGAGTTTTTCCAGGTTGAAATAGAGGCGTGAACATCATTATCTGGTATTACTTTCTTTTTTTTTTAGGTTGCTTAATGGTGAGCAGTTCTAATTAACATTTGGTTCTACCTAAAATCCTCAGTTGCAGGCTTGAAATATTACAACATTAAGAATGACTCATCTTTCAGCATCAAAGTGATTCAAAGCATATAAGAATTAACAAAAGAATAGCTTCTTCAAATGACAACAAAATGACCAAGAGTTCTGATCTAAATGACAAAAGCTGTGGAGTAAAGTGAGGCAAGAAAATTCCTCACATCTAATAGATTTGGAGAACTTTAGGAAGGACAAGACTTTCTTTTAAGTTGCATAGGAAATAAAATTCATTCAAAGCAGGTCAAATTCAAGGCAAAATGTATTAATCATAGTCTCCATTTTTAAGACCCAGAAATCATGTATTTTAATAGGGTCAGTTTTTAAAGCCACTGTATATTAATCATATACTAACTTAAACAAAAGGGGTGTTCTGCGTACCTAAATTGAGGTATGCCCGCTATTAAAAACGTTTGGTATCAAACCCGCTTAAAGTTTAATAACCTGCCTGTAATTATACATCCTTTTGCTATAATTGGAAAGAAAGACCCACTGTTACAAAGACAAAGGGACCTTTCCAAGACTGACCTTTCCAAGGCTATGGGGCTTAGAGCAAAGCTCACACCACAAACTGCTGATTCTCACTTCCTGTTGGCTGCAAAAAGGTTGCTGCACTTTTCCCTTGACTACAAGAAGGCATATTTAGTTGTTTACCAGGTGCTTAGGTTATATTTGCCCTCAGTCTACACATAACTTCATCAACATTGTAAACGAACATCATAGAAAAAAGCGTATAAATATTAATTTTGAAAATAAATAAGTTCAAATTATGCATACAGTAATGCCTCAAAGTTACATTATTTTCTATTTAAGATTATAATCCTAAAATTCTTATACTATGTTATGCTTACTATGTATAATATAATGTGTGATATGATAATTGCATTACAGAGTTTTGTCAAAACCGTGTGTTTTTATTTAGGTCAATAGTGTACTTCTTGTCCAGTTTAGATCTGGTTCTGAGCTAAACTTGACCTTCAATGAAAAACCTTCCTCTGTTTATGCAGGCTCTGTATTTCACTGCAGAATTTGAATGAAAATCTACCTACAGCTTTTCAATCACACCTTATGATCAAAATGTATATTGCCTCCTAACATCTCACCTGTGTCAAATATCTGTTGCTCTGGATATAAAATCACTGTATTATAACACCATCTAAACAGGAAGCTGGAAAAGGCTTCTGGGCTTTCTCTGTTTGGCTTTATATTGTCAAAGCCTTGATCGTTGTCTGTTGGCACTCTGGTGTGTTTGATCTGGGAAATTTCCAGAGAGGTCTTGGTTAAGGACAAGACTTGTAAGGATCAAACTTGGGAACCTGCAGTATGGAAGAAATTTGCATAAGCTGCCAAACCAAATTTTCCGCATTGAACACATCCCAGAGTAAAAGCATCCCTGTGGATGAAGTATCTCTGAATGGTAAGGGTCTCTAAAGTTAAGGAGATTTTAGTCATTTCTGAACTGAAGCAAAACTTGAATGAGCTTTTCTAAAATAAATCAGTGATTTTAAAACCAAAAAGAAAAATGTATACTCAAGAATAACTTGTGTTTTAAAGTAATTCTTAAGCTACACAAGGTGAATTATGCTCACCCTCATACTATGACATCAGACTGAATGAACTGTTTACTATCTAACCTTAGTAACAATGCAGCAGCTATGCCAGTACATGATCCGGCTAATTTGGGAACAAAACCTTGACAGACGGATAGGAAAGCACAACATTTCAATGCATCTATTAGCACAGTTCAATGAGTGCAATTTTTTTTTCCACAGAACTCTCCTCTCAAACTGTAAGTGTCTTCTCCAAATACATATTCCTGCACAGATTAATTTCCATACATGCACATGTTCATCTTCCACTGGATCATAAAGTTTTGCAGGTCAGGGGGGAGGGGAGGGGGGTCTGCCATGGCATTTGGAGATGAGGCGACCGTGCTACTTAAAACTTCAAGCATGCATGGGTAGTAGACAAGCAGCCCAGCACAGGTATCACATGTCTGTCTGTGAGAAGGCGTTATGTTATTCCTGTGTAGCCCAGTTCCTTACTGCAAAACACTGATCATTGCGATTATTCCTTTAAATTAACTTTAAATAAAACAAATTTCTTTATAAATAATGCAGGTTTCTGTATGGCAGAGGCATTGTCAGACATTTTTTATAAGGGTGGCCAGGCAATAACCAATGTACACTGAGGAATGGCCGAGAGCGGATAGGCACCAGAACCTCACGCTCAATCTACAATATTCCAACAGCAAAATTAACGAGCTAACAAACAGACGCATAATTTTAAACACCCGTAATTTCTAGATAAAAGGTATAGTGGATAAAACTCAGTTTTAAGTTCTGGGGTGTGAATCAATCATCATTGTCATTACTTACCTATTGTATCAATAAACATTTTGCATAAAATGGATATTTACAAGCATTAATATCTACATAAATTGATTATTTGACTTTTTTTTTTAATTGTTACTTGTCTTTGATTTCACTGAAGACTCCTAGATGACTTGCAGATACACATATTTTTTTCTTTACCCTGTATAAAAAAAAATTCTGTACTTATCACCTTTTTTTTATTTATTTAATTATTATTTTTTTAATATACTCCCCTTGAGTAGCAGTGGGCTGCCATTGTGCGGCGCTCGGGGAAACTCACAACCTCAGGATTCAAAGCCTTATGCCCTAACCACTAGACCGCCACTCCCCTTTGATGTTAATATACTGATGTGTATAATTAACCACATAAAAATCTAATGTTTTGAATATTCCACTTGAGAGTATTACTGTTGTCACCATCTGTATTAGAGGGAACAAAATGGTAGGGGTGGCCAATGATTGGCTAAGGGTGGCCATGGCCACCCCTGGGCCCCCATCTAGCTCTGCCCCTGCTGTATGGACAGCAGTGCTGACTGAACATCTGCTTTATAATCGATTTAAAAAGCTAAACTGTCAGAGTAGCATGCGGATCTTTGTGTCATAAATAAACTGCACAGGGAATTTAACTTTCGCTCCATCATCCCCTCAGACACTTTTTCCGTCAATGCAGTGTATCTATGCAAAGAAGCGTGTTTCTCTGCTCGGACGCTGATTGGCTGCATGCTATTAATCCTCAATTATCATTAAATCTACAGAGGCTGTCAAAACCTGACACATTCTTGCACTTTTTTATGAGGAAGTGATGCAATAAGATAGATAACATGTTTATCTCAGCGCGGAGGAGCGTTTATTAACCAGAGAGAAGCAGATCCTGTAACATGTGCCTTGAAGTTAGGAGCGATCGGGACAAAAAATAAACAACAAAACAACTTATAATAAATAAACAACTGGATACTAAATACATCCGATGTAAAACAAAGGTTTGATTGGTTACCCAGAATATTAAGACGTTTTTGTTTTTTTGTTTTTTAATTATTATTATTTGAGTGTATAATTGGCTACTTACATGTGTTGACAAAGTTTCCTTTAATGCAAAAACAAATGTAAAGCAGCGATAAAATCATAATCCATGCGTGATAAGGATCAGTGCGGCTCCGGATTCCGGGACTTGGAAATAAAAGTCACAGTGGGATCGCCCGCTCCGATCACGGTCCTTTTTAGTTGCACTGAGTGGCCCTCCCACTCTGTCATTATTACTGAAATACACTGACAGAGACTTCTGCAAACAGCCTGAAAGCTTTCAGATTACAGAGAAATTAATGCCTAAAGGCAACTCAAATAAGCGCTTTTATTAACAGAGCAGGTGCGGGAATAAACCACCGTTTGATGTATTGTGATTTATTCACATTTGTATGAACAAAGGCCTGAATCGTGAATCGTATGGATTTGCTTGTTCTTAATGTGGCTTTTTGTGTCTCGTTTGTAGTAAGTGCTTCCAAGATTAAAAGTGAACGTGGCAATTCAAAAGGTGTTCACACCAGCGCTTTTTTTTTATCTGGGTCCAGGTTTTATCTTGTTTTTCATCGCCTAAAGCCCCATTCTGATTATGTGACATAATCCTTTGACAATAAGTATGTGGCAGTTCTTGCATAAATGCTAAAAGTCACTCTTCCAACAGAGATATATGGAAGGGGATTAGGGCCACTGAAAAAATAAAAAGCTAACTGATTTTTAAATTTTATTTCAGTTTAATGTTGGAAAAAAGTCAGAATTCTGAGATTTAAGTTATAATTCTGAGAAAAAAGGTCAAAATTCTGAGATCAAAGTCAGAATTCTGAGAAAAAAAATCAAAATTCTGAGGTTAAAGTCAGAATTCTGAGAAAAAAAAATCTAAATTCTGAGGTTAAAGTCAGAATTCTGAGAAAAAAAATCTAAGTTCTGAGATTAAAGTCAGAATTATGAGGAAAAAAATCTTAATTTTGAGGTTAAAGTCAGAATTCTGAGAAAAAAGTTAGAATTCTGTCAGAATTCTGAGATTAAAGTCAGAATTCTGAGACTTTAATCTCAGAATTATGACTTTTCCCCCATATTAAACTGAAATTAAATTTTAAAAATTAGTAAAAAAAAATTATTTTTTCAGTGGCCCTAATCCACTTCCATAGAAAGAAGATACACATATAGCTCTGAAAAAGCCAGCGTTGCAGCTTTTTCTAATGTGCCACACATTAAGAATTGAATTAAAAATGCTTTACTTGAACTTAATAGCAATTTAGAAAAAAAAATGTTTTAAAGAAAAATTCATTCACAAAATATTGTTTTTTTTTTTTACACTTATCTCAGTCTAATGGGGGCTTTGAAAAAAAAAATGCTATTACAGTTTGTTTTCACAAACGTAATAAATTTTTCACACATTTCAAATGATGTTTTAAAGAATCTATTTAGTTTGTCTTGTTACCTAGTTAAACTTTGTTTAACCTAAGCGTTTTAGGTGTTTTATCTAGGAAACCCAAATTAGTTGTTAAACTGCAAAGTAGACAACAATCTATGAGTGATAACATATATAATTAAGAGATAAGAAACAGATCTTTTTAAGTTTTGTGGCCACTAACCAGTAGCTGCAGATGGTTACATTGTTATTTAAAATGTAATTATCTCGTGTTACGCCATAATATGCATATTTTTCATATCATATGCAGCCAATCCCTGTTACCTTTTAGTTAAAATATATACTGTGTAAGTTACATTTTTTGGGGCCTCAAAAGAAAACAGAGGCTTCTAAGCAGTTTAAAGTTTTGATTACCGGTATACCTTGCGCTTACTTTACCTGCTCTTATACAATCTGATACACTATCTACAGTCTGCTCTTTTACTAAGATAAGGATAAGCTTTAACATTCACTGTTATCCTTAGATTCTGCATGTTGATGGGTCTTACCGGTTCTCTTTTCCAATTACTGTAGAAATTCAGTCAAAATGGATCAATAGCAAAGCCAAATAAGCCAAGGTGAATAAATGAATGTACAAAACTAAAACAAAGGTTCTTTCACATCAACTTCTGTGACATGAGCCCCAACAATTTAAAGTTTCCAATCCAGAGAAACAGGTGTTGAAGCTGCACACAAGCTAATGTTTAGACAGATGATGTTAACTCCCCCTCCCTGCCCCCGTAAGCTTTAAAATGACGTGCAATTTCCGAGGATTTCATGAAACTAATGTAGGGGAAAAGAAATTCTTTACTGTCTATATTTCCTCGATTTTTATCTCAACTGCTCCAGATCTTCTAGCCCTTCTTCATGAGAAGTCAGAGGTTATGTGAAATGTAGTTTTTGTCCTGCTTAATTCATTTCTGTGTTTGGAATCTTAAGTTACTGCAAACAGAGGAAATGATGTGGATACACATATTTTAACTCCTTTCGTGGTTCGGCTCCTTCTGGAGCTTCAAGTAGAAAGACAACCCCACATTTTACTGTTCTTCAGGCTTTTATTTCAATTTAGTTTAAATTAGAAAGAAATTAAGTGTTATTTTCCCCTGAAATATAAATAATTTAAAAAGTATCTTCTTTTGGCATAGAGTAAAGTGTAAAGTCAATTGTTACTCCTAAAATCAGCTGCAAAGAAAATGACTCTGCTTGCATACATGCACTTAAGGCTTTAGAATACTGATCCTATACTACACTAAATAAGTAGTTTTTATCACGGTTTTGGGAACTTTGACTTTTTATTTGTTATTCATAATCTAATTTACTGTCTTCACAACACTTTATAAATATTCCGGGAATGGAAACCACATTCATCTGAACTAAATTCCATACTTGTCAGATTGCAAAAGAAAATATGCCATTGCTTAGCTTTGGGTGAGGCACATGAAGATGTGCAGAAGGGGTTAGGGTTGAGCGAACCTTAAAATCTTAACATACGGTAATAAAAATCTGTAGCAAGTATTTCTCTGCTAGTTCCATTAAAAATGCGCCCATACCGTAGACCAGCAGGTCATTGTAAGTCATCAGCACATCATTTCAATGAGTCAAATTCCTGTTTTTTGATGTGTGAAGCGGTAAAATTGCTCAGCAGCATTCAACAATGACTCTTGCCAGCTAATAAAAAAATAAATATTGAATACATTTGGGGTTTAAAAGTTGTAGGACTATGTTCTTAAATGCATGCTTTGTTATTTCGGTGACCTCCATATATTTCACAGGGAAACTGTCTGCATCCTGTGCATAGCTAAAACAAACAATAAAAAAAAAGATATTTGCATATTAGAAGGCTCAAATTTTTTCAGCTTGCAAATAGGGTCCAAAATGTTTGCAACATTTTTTGCTGTAAAACACTATAAGTGACTGAAAGCTAATGCGGCGCACCCCCCTAAAGACGTACCTGGGGCAAAAATATGGCGAAGGGCATCCCCTTAATGCTTTTCTCCCTTAGGAGAAGGAAGCTGTTCCACATGAATCTAAGAGTTTAATGCAGGACAATCCTGGAAGGAAGGAAAAATGGTTTTAAAGAGCAAAAAACTGTATTGGATGTTCCCTTTCCAGCTAGAGCAGGACCCAAACCAGGAGCCAGAGCTACAATGGAATGCTTGGATCACAGCGAAAGTTAGTTCAAAGGAAACCCGATGGATATTCTGATGGGAGAGTATTTCCAAAATTAAATTTTACTGAGCTTCAGCTAATTTGAAAAGACGAACAGCATAAAAACTATTACCGGTACTTATCACATGCAACAGAAAATGGAGGCATAAAACAAAATAATGGAACTATAGGTCTAAATACAAACCTGCCTCTCTTTTTATTTATTGTTTTAGACACAGCAACTGATTTTCTTTTAGCATTAAAATTAAGAACATCTTTGGGTCAAACTACCATGATAAATCCAATTTTAATATTTAAAAATGTGAAAAAGTTTATGAAGGACACATACTTCTATTGATTTCTGTGGATTTAAAGACTACAGGAAGTAATATTTTCCTCCCACAAACATAAATATAGGATAAAAATGCGAAACTTTACAGGGCAAAGAAATGTTGCCTGATAATAGCGCTTCAACCATTTTTTCCTTGCCCATGCCTTTTTTACCTTAGCCTATTGCAATGGTAATTCCTATGATACTAAAACTTTTAAAAATTTCAAACATTTTCTTCTTTTAATTTTGGCTTTTGTCATGGTGTTTTTAATGAAGCTGTTTTGCCTGGTTATCTTGGAGTTGGATTTAAGCAATTTAGACACATTGTAAAGGCCAGGTTATTCCCAAATTGAAGCTCTAAGAACTGTTACTGAGCGTACTTTCCTCTTATCATGACAATAACTTATTTAGATAAAACCATTTGTCAAGATGAAAAATAAAATAAGACAAAGCTCTGTGAAATATAGTATCTTATTGCAATAAATCGCCTATACTTTATTCTTAATCTTTGTAAGTTAGTTACCTAAACATTTTAACAGTCTTCAAATAGAGCTGCCAAGAGGAAGCACCGAATTTTTCAGCTCCAAAGCTGATATTGAAACCTGACATCAGGTGTTCTCAATCATAGCGTAGCTTTATGTTTAGAAATTTGTCATAAATTTAATTTAAATTTAAAAAAGTTAACAATATAATTTATCTCCATAAATTGTAGGATTTTTTTTTTTTAGAAGTGTATCCATTTCTTCCATTCAACTCGGTATGCTTGTATTCAGTGGATGATAACGACAGAAATCTATAAGTAAACTGACCCAACACTATCAAAAAGGAGAGCGGTGCTTTGTGCATTGAAACAAACAAGAACAGAGCCTAACCTTGTCCTCCTTACCTTAATAGAGTGCACAGAAAGACAAACCAGAGGACAAATGTAGGACTCTTCTTGCTGAGTATAGTATCTGTTTCAGCACGTGTAACATCGCATTTTAAGTGGTTATGCATGCACATAAGCTCAGCAAACACAGAGGCAAACTGCGGTTTGCTTTTGCATGTGCGCTCTATTCTTTGTATGCATGAATCATTTCATTATTGCTAAATAGGTTTTGAGGCAAAACACCTGTCTCTTTCTCCTCACAATTCACCATGTTGACATATGGCAAAGCCTCAAAGATTTCACATTATCTGTACGCCAACATCACCATTCAAGTGCACCTTTTATGTGTTCAAAGTCTGAGAACCATTAAGAAGTCTGCCTATTATTTCTGATAGCTCACCTGTGCATGAAAGCCAACAGTATCTGGATGAAATGTTTAAAATAATAACAAG